GCCTGCCGCCCTCCCCTCTCATGTGGGTCCTGGTGATGTGAACCAGGTCCTCAGGCTTGGGGGGCAAGTTCTTTACCTTTGCTTTAGTCAACTCTCCAGTCCCTGTTAACTGATTTAGTGTCATTGATGTCTGAAGTCACATTTGTGTGCATCTAATCAAGTCATCAATTGTGTCTGGGACTTGTTTTCCCATATACTGGGGGTGATGTCATGTAAAGTTGTTGGGATCCAGCATGCTACACTCATGATCTTGTATGTCTATCATAGCTGACTTGGGTGTAAATCAAATGAGATTCAAAGGGCCTCCTGAGAGCATCCACATACCTTGTTCTCTCTATCCTCCCAAATATTGCTGCTGCCGGGTATTAAAGCAAAGTAGTCACTTAAATTAATAGTATTTTCATTAAGTATAAATCTACCTATTACAAGTTTGATTGAAGGAAGTTGTAGGTGACAACTGCTAGCTAAAGCAACATGATCATGGGTGACTGGAGGAGAGTGTAATGTCCCACTGGCCCTGTTGCATTAATTATGCTTGTGAGCATGGAGATAGGGAGATGTTTTCCATTGTCCCAAGTTCAAGTCATTCTATTTCCTGCCAGTATTGTGCACTGCTGTTTGTCCCTCTTGCTTGGCCACCTTTCTTTTCTGCAATCCCTCCTATACACAGGTGCCAAGGAGGTGGTACTGAAGTAACACCCACAACTGGACATTGTCTTTCCAAATTGCCATTCTGGCCACACCACAAAAGACAGAATTCTCTTGAGAGAAGGAAGAGGAAGTGCCCTCCAGTTGAATCTTGTCTCATCTGGCCTAGAAGCCTTAGTTCTTGGTTGTAGTATATATTTGAAATGCCACAATAATTGCTTTGGATAAATGGCTCCAAACATAATTATAGCATGAGGCCAGGACATCTACAATATGATCCTTTAGCATCTTGAAGAGCCATGAAATGAGGAAGGATTCATAATAATGACAAAAACAAATCAAGCTAACAATGGTCACTGTGGCAAAGGGACATAGAAACCAAAAAAAAAAATCACAGTATTCAAATCAGCAATATTTGAAGCAATTAAATGAACTCATACTGCAGAATAAGATCATGGATAAATAAAATCCATGAGCATACGTAGGTACATGTAAGTAAGTGAAAATGGAGAGAAAGAAACCAAGCTCATGCAGAGGAATTTTAGATACTTTTATGTATTATCATAATTTCAGGACACAGAATATAACTCTTCAGCTCCTAAATGTAGGCTGTTCACAGCAACTTCCTTCCAGGGAGTATACTACAAAGTAGAAAGGAAAGGAAAATACAATAACAATGAAGATATTGGACAGCTACCACCTCAGCCTGGTGACAAGATTCTTCATTTAATAAGGGTAGATGGATTGATAGTATATACCTGTGGTAGGATGGGACCAGAGCAGCATTTATCTTTCCAATCTTCCTCCAAAAACACACAATCTCACTCTAATCATGAGACAAGTATTAGATAAAGCCCAATTGAAAGACATTCTGCAAAACGCCTGACCAGTCTACCCCCAAATGCCAAGGTTACTAAAAAGCCATGAATGTTTGAGAAGATGGCACAGCTGTGACACACCTAGAGAGATAAGAAAAGTGCATACAATTACATCTGCCTGATTGAACCCTGGAGTAGAAAAGGTTAAAATTAAGAATGTCTATGAGAGCTTAGACTTTGGTTAATGTAAATATGTTAGAGAGTGTGATTCTGGAACAAGAATTAGAATCAGAAATAAGAGAGTCCTCAGGAGGTGAAGGTCATCAAGAAGATGGGCAACCACATGCCCAACCTCTGCAGGTTGACTGCTGGGCCCCAGGCTTCTCTGGGCAAGTACCTCTTTAAGTGGCTCACTCTCAAGCATGACTAGGAGGCCCCTCTCTCCTTCTGTGGGGCTCCCATCTCTGCTCTGCACCAGCAAGCCTCAGGACCTTCACCCGAGCATCTCAAGAAGCCACTAGGCAGCTTTGTAACACCCTGGAGTCCCTGTCAAGTCTTGGATCAAGTAAAAATAAAGCCTTTTGAAACAGAGAGAGAGAGAGAGAGAGAGAGAGAGAGAGAGAGAGAGAGAGAGAGAGAGAGAGAGAGGAAGAGAGAGAGGAAGAGAGAGAGAGAGAGAGAGAGAGAGAGAAAGAGTACTCAAAACAAAAGTCAAACAAACTTACAGTGGTCACCACCTGTCAAAGCAATGCATAAGTCAATGAAAGGACTTGCAGTCATCAAAGTCAGAATCTGTGAAGCAAGCAGATACCATGGGACTGGATCGTAATGCCAAGGATCAATACTACAAGTGCACCATACCGAAGATGTCAATAATTAGATAACACAAGCAGGAACTAGCAAAGTGAGATATATTTGGAGCTTCTCAGTACCATCTTCATAAATTTTGTGGAAATGTAAAATACTCTCTAATAATAAATTGACATTTACAAAGCCTCAGATTATCAATTTTATGATGAGTTATGCTCTTCATAACTGCCCATTAGAGCCCCATCTTTCATCTCAGAATCTTGGAAATTTTCTGTAGTTTCCATTTACAAATGGATCTCCCACTCTACCTATGTTTACAGACCCTGAAACATATTCTATTGCAAGTTAAGTCAGCTAATTTATTTATTTAATCAGTCATTTAAAAAAAGACTTCTAGATTTCCTCTGTGTTGATAGGACTGAGAACAAATAAGCAATAACCTTGATCTTGTCTTAGTTTATAACTTGAGTGGGATGTACCACAAACATTGACTTCTGGGTAATTAGAAATTCATGGAGTACTAAGAAAGTGAATAGTTGTGGAGATCATAAGGTTCTATAAAGAATTGATCTTGGCATTGAGTAACAAAGAAAATTCTTGAGGATTCTCTCTCTCTCTCTCTCTCTCTCTCTCTCTCTCACACACACACACACACACACACATACACACACACACACACACACACACGCATGTATATGTGTACATATACATATATGTGTATCCCTTGCTCTATATCCCTCCTCTTTTTCTCCATAGTTTATGTGTACATGATGGAGGGAGGTGGCGTTGGATGCATAGGCACTAAGACAGTACTTCAGGACTATGCCTCTGCATTTGAGTGATGGAGCTGGATAGGAGTCAAGAGGCAATAGAAGGGACCATATATTACTGAGACAGGAAAGAGAATAGTTGGACTTGAGATGTAACTCTGTATGGCTAGCGTACACAAGGCCCTGGTTTTGGTCCTCATCACTGCCAAAACCAAACAAGAAACAAAAGGAAAGGAAAGCCAGACAGAAATCCCCTCTGCAACTGTTGTTGCAGGTATTGTTGTGGGACTCTGGACTATGCACCAAGCTCACTGATAACCTCCTTAGGTGGGCGTGTTCTCTAGTTTACATCTGCCCAGCTTCTGCTGGAGGAGTTGGGATTATGATTCTCACTTTACAGACGAGGAAACTAAGACCCTGCAATACTAAGTGGAAAGAATGAAGTTCTAATGAAAATCAGTGGGTTAAGCTTTGGGATCTTCTCTTCTCTTACAGGAGACAGAACTACCTATCTAATATAGGTAACTTTGGTGTATTTCTTCAAAAGCAGATGAAGACTCTGTAGCAGTTGTTATTAATAATTTGGGGCCAGGTCCTCCCCTGCTGCAGCAGTTTGTCAGGGGGCATTGTAGGATGTTTAATGGCATCTATTTCTTTAACTAGGATGCAAGAAGCATCTTGCTCCTCCTAGAGATTACAAGCAATAAAATTTCTCTAAACTTTCCAATGACTGTTGGAGAGAACTACATCATGCCCTGTTCCCACTGTACCTAAAGCACTGTGTTGTAGCTAAGTTTTCAGAGAGCTGTCTTAATTATCCAGTTTTTTCTGTCCCCTTCTTTTCCACTTGCCTGTATTACCTTCTATGTATCTGGATAGTAGACAGTCACCTTAGAGCTTATAACAATATCATATAGAGCACTTGTTCAACAAATTCTTGCCATCTCTGCTTACTGAATGCCAAAGGTCAAAAATTATAAGGTCAAGAATTCTAGGAGCCCATTTTTTGGTAAAACAAAAAAATCCATTGTCTCTGATTCAAAACTTGATGGTGGGAAAGTTAATTTTTGATATCTTTTATAACTGAAAAATCTCATTTCTTCCAGATGGAAGAAATTGACCCAATCTAGCTGTGGCAATGCAGTCTTTTAATCTCAGCATTTGAGAGGCTAATAGAGAAAGTGACTGGTTTATGAGCTCTTTAACAACAACAGCAAAATCCAAAGCCACCAACATCTACCCTGACCCAGGAACTCATCTACCCAGGAGCTAGTAAAGAGTGGAATCCATTAGGATGCCCATATACATTGGTGTGTGCCTGCGTGAGCCCTACCAATTTAAATGACGTCCTATGTAGCCATGCCACAGAAAGCACATAGCATTTCTTCTAGAAATTCTCCCTTTCATGTGTGCATGCCATCTGGGTTCGATAATGATTCTGGACTAGATTTTTACTCAGTTCAGCCCCCTTAGCATGGGTAGGCAGTGGGAAAGGGACCTGATTCCTGGCCACGTTATGGCCTCGTAGGTTCTGCATCATTGGATTTTTGCTTCTCCTCATTAGTGGGTGTTCAGAGAACCTTACATGCAGATAGCACAGGTAAGAGAGCTCAGCACAGTGCATCTAAATCAGGTGGTCTCTTTACCTGGCATTTTAGCTCCAGGCACCTGCTGCTCCACTGCTTTCTATTACATCCAACCCAGAATCATCACATCTTGAAATGCCCATTTACTTATTTGCTGGCGTTCTTCCACTGTTTTGAGTGTAGCACTTCAATGCCTGGGTTCTCTGAGGCTGCAATGGACCATGGAAGAGAGGTCTTTAGTAATTGTATGTCACAGCGCCCCTCTATAATTCCTGTCATTTTCTCCAAACCTGTCTGTGGATTGTAATACATCACAGTAGCCCTGGAGTTAGGAATAATCAATGTCCATCTTTTTATTGTCTTGGTAGAAGGAGGGACCTGCGAAGTGATTGCAGCCCACAGGTGTTGTAACAAGAACCGTATAGAGGAGCGGTCACAAACAGTGAAGTGTTCCTGTCTACCTGGGAAAGTGGCTGGGACAACAAGAAACCGACCTTCCTGCGTGGATGGTAAGTAATGGGTTTTAGCCCTTTCTAATGGATATCCACTCATTAATTCACTGCATACAACACACGATGTGTTTTCTTGTGTAAACTAACTGTGATTCTGAACCATGGATGAGGCATATCTAAACTGTTGTGAGGCTAAATGTCAGAACTCAGCTTATATCTGGAACTTTTGTTCCTCTGGTGTTAGGTTTGAATGTCTACTTCAAAACTCATGTTGAAGGCAGACTGCCATTTTGATGATTCAGGAAGTGAGGCATCTGGAAGGTGACCGAGTCATGAGGGCTGCACCATTGTGAGTGAGGTTAGTGCCATTAAAAAAGGAGAGTGCAGCGCCTCTTGTGCCCCTCCTTTTCTGGTTCCCACTATGTAGTGAGGAATCATGAAAGGCCTCCATCAGAATACGAACGTCCATCAGAAACACTCATGCCTTGATCTTGAATATCCTTGTCCCTAGAGCTGTGGGAATTAATTTATTAAGTTATGTTTGTATGCTACCTAGTCACAGGTGTTCTGTTATAGAAGCACACACACACACACACACAAGTGGGGGTGAAGGAGAGAGAGAGACATCTGGCTTGAGAAATTTCACATATTTTGATACTTTAAAAGAAAACTAAGTAAAGGGAATTTTAGAACAAAGAACGTATGGATTCAACTTATTTGGAAAGAATTTTGTTTGGGGTTATGGTGGTGTTAGTAATAGGAAAGTTGGCAGTACTTAAAGTTCATTTAAAAAATATTTAGCGATCACAAATTATCTTCTAGGTATCACTCTAGTTGCTTTGGATATACATGCGAGTGAACACCATTGTCTGAGTATGTACTAAAATCTGGTACACATTGCTCATATGTTGTTCTAGCTAATCCTACCAAAACAGTTACTATTGTCATATGAGTTTTCTATTTTGGTGTTATAAGTCACACCCAAATTTAACAGCTGAAAATATCAAACACTGGACTAGGGTTGTGATTCAGTTGGTGGAATGTTTGCCTAGCATGCATAAGGCATTGGGTTCAAACCCCAGCATAGCATAAACCTGGTGTAGTTATGCATACCTGTGATCTCAATGGCTGGAAAGTAGAAATGGAATCAGAGTCGTCCTTGGTTACATAGGAATTTCAAGACCAACCTGGATTACACGTAACCCTGTATCAAATAAATAGATTAAGTTAAATTTCCAATGTTATCTTACCATGCCTGTGGATTAAGACTTAAACTTAGCTGGGAGGTTCTGTCTCTAAAGCGCTCATGGAGCCGCACTGGTGTTCTAGTATATTGACCTGTGCCAGTGAGCGGTTTTAGGATGGCTTGTTCACATAGCTGTTGGCAAGAGCTATAGTTCTCTACCATATGAACCTATCCATTGGAGCTTGATTTCTTTACAACATGGTAGTAGATTTTCCTCAGAGTGACTGCAAGAAAGCAGAACATAAGCTCCAGTATCCTTTATGTTAAACCTTAGAGCTCATGTGTCATTATTTTGTTTCTATCCTATAGGTTATATCAGTCTACCCTCTTTAGTATAAAGCTGGTTGCCAAAACATAAAGACAAACGTACAGAAATCATAAGAGGCCATGTCAGAGACTGGATATCAGAGGAGGTTGTTTCTTTCCCAGTGCAAGCATGAAGAAACAGACTAAGAATAGTAGGATAATCCCCTTGATACATGCTTTGACAGTCTCTCATTTGTGACTCTTAATGCCAGTATCACATACTTTAATCCTAAATTTCACTGTCATCCTTAAGATAATCTTATATACTATGGCCAAGTAGGGTGTCCGTACTTCTCTACGGTTATCAAAATTTAAAAGTGTAGGTGTGATTTTATTTCCTAATTCTTCAACAGGGGAGTTGAGACTCATAGAAATGACCCATGTATGCAGGGTCATAGAGCAGTACTGAGAACTTCTATCTATTGGCTTAGGTCCACTCTTCTTCCCCTAGATATGCAGGGTAAGGAGGACACTTCCTAGATAAGATTGTATTTTGTATTTTAATTTGTGGACCAGTTGGTGGTTGAGAGAGAAGCACACTCAAGTTATGGCAAGGAAAACATAAGTTATTTTAGAAAGTAAAAGAATTCTTCAGGAACCATTGGTGGTTTCTGTCTATGTTCTTTTTTTGATTTCTGATCTTTGCTTATTTTATTCTCATTTGTACGGCCTGATTCCTTCTTCAAGTATTTACTTCACACTCTCATATGAATTATAAATGGGTAAACAGCACCACTCTGATCTCATTTGGCTTGATAGTAAAGCTTCAGTAAAGCATATTTAACCAAGATCCCATGCTGTAACTAAGATTTCTGAGACAACAGTATGTATGTGATTGGTCCAACTTGGAACAAGAGGTCAACTTTTGCCTGGTCAACGACAGCCAGAGGAACAAGTTTACGTGGCCATCAGTCTGTCCTTCTGTTCCATGGGAAAGTCAGTTTAGTCTTGAAGGATGTGACTACCCAAATTTGAGAATATAGGACTGTCAGTTCTGCAGTGTAGTAGTGTCTCCCAGGAATCGCTTGGTAATACCTATCAGAGGGGAGTGTTACTTCTGCCGGCTCTAGCAAAGAATACTGCTAAGCATCCACATTACATTGGACTCCTCCCCTGATCAAAGAATTTACATATCCACCAGTAGTGTCATCGGTACTGAGGTTGACTGACTTAGACTGTGATTTGGACTGTTCTGTATCACAGTGAACACCATGAAGCATTGGCAATGAGGGAAGGAAGGCAGCTACCCTACTAAAACCATATTGGCCTATTCCAAAAGGAAGTTCTTGCCAAGAAGGCGGGAGGCATTGTACTACATAAAGTTACAATAGTCTCTTAGATTCTTGACCAAAGAAAGCATTGAGGTTGTTACCTATAAATCTTCATCCTGCTTCTAGTTGATTTTCATCACTAGTGATCTAGAATGGATTTGCCTTCAGATTTTGAATGAAAAACACAAAGTACAGTGTATTGGCTGTGCTGAGAGAGTGGGAAATTGCATTTGGTTTTAAATTTTTGTTGGATGATAAACCATATGACAGCAATATTTTCATCTCACGACAAGTTTATTTAATTTTGAAAACTATTGTCAGCGTGGTTGTTTCAAACAAAAGGACCACTACCTCTATATTCCAAGAAAAATAATTTAAAAGTTCTTTAGTATGATGATGAATATTCATATTTAAATAACATTCCAATTTCAAATTTATGGGCATGTATGGACAAGTACATGTAGCTATCAATTAATTTGTTTGGGAAACCTAACACTCAATGTGGAAGAATGAGTATGGAGCAATCATTTTGATGGAGTTGCTAGAATATTGCCCTACGTTATTACACCTGGACAGAATCACAGCTAAAACTTTTACCAGTAGAACAGTCTCTGGCAAGCTGTGTCCATCTCACCACAATGTGTTGTTCTCCCCAAAATGAGAATGAGAAGGATTTCTGCCTCCTGGAGCTGAGTGAGGAATAATAGAACCATGTTTGTAATATGATTTCCACATTGGCACTCCTCAAGTGTTCTCTAAATTATACATTCTATTTCTTATCTTACTAGTAAGTGTGAATAATTGTTAGAAATATCAGCATCATGTTAATTCAGCATGTTGACATCTTGGCCCCCATGTTTTCTGAGAATATTTTCCAACCAATCATCCTGGATAGCATCAGTTGCTTCTCAGGAGTTCAAGTTCATTGTAGGGATTTGTAAAGCCACAGATAAATAATACCCATACGTTGAAGACACCTATGATACCATTTCCAGAAATTGTCATGGCTTTGATGATTGCCTTATAGTCCTATCCAAGCACTAAAAAGTAAAGGATCAATGGAGATATTTACTAGATTTAGATTCTGTGATACTAATTGATAAAGAACTTATTTCACTTAATATACTATAAATATTTTCCATGTTTGTGAATATTCTTCCAGACATAATTGTCAATGGCTACATAGGATTAATCTCAATGATTAAATATACCTTCATTTATTTAATTACCCTCTCTGCTTTCCACACTTGCAATCCTTTTTGAATTCCCCTTACTCTCTTCCCTAAGAGGCAGAGAAAGAAGATCAACCTGGGCTGCAGAGCTCCAGGAGACCTCATGCATCAAATATAGTCAAAAGCAGCATCTGGTATTACCACACTTGAGCTTCAAAGGCTTTCTTGTAAGATGCAAATATCTAGGTAAATAAGAAAAGGCATTACAGCCAAATAATACAGAAATATGATATACTTCGGGCAATATCCGTATCTTCCTATTAGATATTATAGAAATTGTACCTTCTGGAGTCATTGCCATAAACTAGGTAGACGTGATTCTGTAAACCATGCTTTTAGTTCTATATAATTGAGAATTAAGGTGGCAATGCATCTCTCTCTCTCTGTCTCTATCTCTCTCTGTGTGTGTCACTCTCTCTCCCTATCCTCTCTCTCTCTCTCTCTCTCTCTCTCTCTCTCTCTCTCTCTCTCTCT